ATTTAAAAAAAAAAAAAAAAAGACTTCACCAAAAGAGCAAAAAGCACCCTACGGACTCAGAAAAAAATTTTGGCTACGACAAATCCAATCAGCTTCTAATCTCTAAACTCTACAAGATACTGCAAAACCTCAATAACGAAAACACCAATAACCCAATTTAAAAATGGGTAAAGGATATGAACAGGCACTTCGCCAAAGGAGATATTCAGGTGGCTAACAGACACATGAAGAAATGCTCACCATCATTAGCCATTAGAGAAATGCAGATCAAAACTACAATGAGATACTATCTCACCCCAACAAGGCTAGCATTAATCAATAAAACACAAAATAATAAATGCTGGAGAGGTTGTGGAGAGACTGGAACACTCACACACTGTTGCTGGGAATATAAAATGGTACAATCACTTTGGAAATCAATTTGGCGCTTCCTTAAAAAGCTAGAAATAGAAGTACCATATGATCCAGCTATCTCGCTCCTTGGAATATATCCTAGGGAAATAAGAGCCATCACACGAATAGATATATGCACACCCATGTTCACTGCAGCACTGTTCACAATAGCAAAAAGATGGAAACAACCTAGGTGCCCATCAACAGACAAACGGATAAATAAATTATGGTATATCCACACAACAGAATACTATGCAACGTTAAAGAACAACGATGAAGCCGTGAAACACTTTATAACATGGAGGAAGCTGGGGGGCATTATGCTGAGTGAATTTAGTCAGTCACAGAAAGACAAATATTGTATAAGGCCACTATTGTAAGCACTCAAGAACAGGTTTAAACACAGAAGAAAACATTCTTTGATGGTTACGAGGGTGGGGAGGGAGGGTGAGGGTCATTTACTAACTAGACAGTAGATAAGAATTATCTTAGGTGAAGGGAAGGACAGCACACACTTCAGGGGAAGTCAGCACAACTGGACTAAAACAAAGCTAAGAAGTTTCCTGAATACAGTCAAACACTTTAAGGGACACAGTAGCAGGGGTAGGGTTCTAGGGACCATGCTTTCAGGGGACATCTAGGTCAAGTGGCATAACAAAGCTTATTAAGAAAATATTCTGCATCCTACTTTAGAGAATGGCGTCTGGGGTCTTAAAAGCTTGCAAGCCGTCATCTAAGATGCAGCAATTGGTCCCAACCACCTGGAGTAAAGCAGAATGAAGAACACCAAAGATACAAGGAAAATATCAGCCCAAGAGAAAGGGCCACATAAACCAGAGACTTCATCAGCCTCAGACCAGAAGAACTAGATGGTGCCCGGCTACCACCAATGACCACCGTGACAGGGAACACGACAGAGTCCCGGATGGAGCAGGAGAAAGATGGGGCGCAGAACTCAAATTCTAGTAAGAACAGACTTAATGGTCTGACTGAGACTGGAGAAACCCCGGAAAGCATGGCCCCTGGATTCTCTGTCAGTCCAGAACTAAAAATAACTGCAGAGGCCAACTCTTCAGACAAGGACTGGACTGGATTGTGGGACATAAAGTGATACTCGTGAGCAGTGTGCCTCTTAGCTCAAGTAAATACAAGAGACTAAACGGGCAGCTTCTGTCTGGAGGTGAGATGGGAAGGCAGAGAGGGTTAGGAGCTGGCTGAATGGACATGGGGAGTCAGGGGTGGAAAGGAGGAGTGTGCTGTCACAGCATGGGGAGAGCAATTAGAGTCACATAACAATGTATATATAAATTTTTGTATGGGAAAAAATTTTTAAAAAACTTAGAGAGCAATGAGTTTATGTTAATGAAAGAACAACCATTCGGAAAAGGAGACAAGAATGGTTGTACAACTTGAAGAATGTAATCAATGTCACTAAATTGTACATATAGAAATTACTGAATTGGTGTATGTTCTGCTGTGTATATTCTCAACAACAAGAAAAAAATTGTTTTTTTAAATTGCTACAGTTGAGATCTGCTAATGAATGCTAAACAGACAAAAGTTTAAAGAGAAACAGGATATGTGCATGTCCTTAAAGTATCTCCCCAAACTATTTATTATTTACAACTCCATAGTACAGAAACACCACCTTAACTAAGGGATCAAAGTTAGCATAACCAGTAATTAGACGTGTAGCCCTGATATGATGTGTGGAAAAGGACAAATCACCTCTGCAGTATGCTTCCCAAAAGTGCATTATCTCAGTCTAATCATAAAACAGCACCAGACAAACCCAAACTGAAGGATGTTCTACAAAATATGACGAGTACTCGTAAAAAGTGTCAAAGTTATAAAAGACAAGAAAAGATTGAGAAATGTTATAGATTGGCAGAGACTAAAGAGACATGACAACTAAATGCAATGTGGGATCCTGGGCTGGATCCTGGAACATAAAAGGGTATTAGTAGAAATACTGATGAAATCTGAATAAAATCTGTAATTCACTTAGTAGTTAACAGCACTGTTTCATTGACAATATTATACCAACATTAATTTCTTAATTTTGATAATTGTACTATGGTTATAGATGTTAACATTAAAGGAAATGGATGAAATATATATGGGAACACTATTTTTGTAGCTTCTGTAAATCTAAAATTATTTTAAAATAAAAAGTTATAAAAAAAATCCTAGGTGATAAAGACAGTATTAGCTGTAATACTATATGTAATTAATGCTAATTATACACACACACATACAATTTATACATTTCAGTGTGTGTGTATATATTTTTTAACCTTAAACTCACTATCAACTTACCTGTTTTCCAATAAATGTTACAGTCTCTGCTCTTACTTTATGCCATGTCTATCCCATAACAAAGCTCTAAAAAATTAATATTTTACCAAAAATAAAGGTATTTACCTAAATTAAAAGCATTTAATTTCCTTTTGTGACATCCTAAAAATGACTACTGATCACAATTTCATCCTCAATTATATGAGCTTCCACAAAGCTTTATTTTCAGTAGAAGTCAATATTGCTATTGATTACTACACAGAAGCAATAATTTAAATAAAATCCTTACCTTCCAACCACTGCCAGCCTCTCTATAATACGGGAAGTTATCACAAATCCACTGGTAAATCTCACTTAGAGTCATTTTCTTTTTGGGTGAGCTATTAATTGCAAATGTAATGAGGCTGGCATAACTGTATGGAGGTTTCCCATCTTTGTGCTGTTGGACTTCCTCCTGGTCCAGGGTTGTATTTGGGTCAAGGAGCACATTCTTCTTGGAAATCCCTGATCCGTGTGCATTTTGTGTAGCGTCAGATTTTTGGATGGCTGCTCTCATGGTAAGCTGTGGTAACCAGTCCATAGATGTTAGGCTGCTCTCCAGTTCAGATGTCATCCTGAAGGTAAATAGACTCCTTAGTCAATATCAAGGAAAGAACCCCTGCTTCTCAAAATATCCAATATTCACAAATCTAGGAGTTCCAAAGTGAGGGAAAGCCTGAGTTAAATCTGGAGGAAAAAGATTGAGTATGTTAATGACCAAACCAATATTTAAAGGAGCAACATTTCCAATCTTTTTTCTTAATATTTTTCCTCTCCAAAACATAACAAACTTGGTTTTAAAATGTTTAAGAGACAGAACAATATATATACATAAACTGATTCTGACGTCAATCTTTCTGAAAAAGATGATCTGCCTCTTTAAACAGGGCAACAGAATGTTGGTTGAAAAACCCAATCTGCAGCCCAGCTCTTTACTCACCAACACCACGGGCCCTTTAAAAATTTGTCTGTGCATCTGGCATTTCTTTTACACGAACTTTAGGGGAGTTACATAAACAAAGGAATATCAAAAGTCAGGTAGAGGGAAGAGGCCAGAGAAGTAATTTAGAAATGGGCACAGGAATTTGCATGGAGGAAAGAAGGTAGAGCTGAGCAGGTGGGAGGTAGGAAGAGTAAAGCAGGGTAGACAAGAATAGCAAGTAGACAAGCTAGCCGGGGGAGCTGACTAAAAGGAAGAATGCAAACACAAGGACACTGACGAGCAAGAGCAAAGGAGGATAGGCAGTACCAGGCAATTATTTTTTAAAAACAAGTCAAGGAACAAGCGTAAGAAAACTAACTAAAGATCAGGGAGTATAGGTAGTAAGAGATTAAAACACATAAATTGACAGCAAGAAAAGAAGCATTAAAAGCTTGAGAACAGGCTTGGGCAAACTTCCAGTCATCTGGGTTCTATAATGTATTTCTCTCCAAGGCTGAAAAATTCGAATCATTACTACTGAAATAAAGGGGGAAAAAAAAGCAAAATCTGCCAAATTAATGCATATTCTGAAGAAAGGAGGAAGTAGCTCTGAGAATTGCAGGATAAAAAAACAAAGCTTGACACTTCACACCAATTGCTACCCTTCAGCAGAGGGTATTCTATCCTGGGATCAAAGAAGCAGTAATAACAGTGACCCTAACAAAGAAGTAGAAAAGAATGAAAAACTTGTAAGTGAGATCAAAATAAAAGAAAGAAAACAAAATAAGAAACTTAAAGTACCAAGAAACCTAAAGTACCTCAGTCAAAAGAAAAAAAAAAATTTCTGGCTAAGAAAATCCCATATAGGCCCCTCATCCCAAATGGCAGCTGCCAAGAAGCAAGCCTGGGGTATGTGGTTAGGATCTGAACTTCTGGGAGGCAATGTGGAATTGATAAATAAAGAACATAAGCTTTGGAGTCAGGGCAACCAGAGTTCAAGTACTCATTCTACCAGTGGAAGTATTCTAGTTGAGAGACTATGAAAATGTTAATTAATATCTATAAACCCCAGCTTTCTCATCTGTAAAATTAAAGGGTAACAGTACAACAGTTAAACTATACTTTGAGAATTAAATGTGGTAACATATGCACACAATTAAGTATTCAATAAGTGTTACTTAATAATATTACTCTAGGAGTATCCTGAGAGGGTACTAATATGTACTAATAAAGTAAACCGGATTAAGCAACAGTAATTATAAATTGAAGCCACCATTAGATTCTACCTGCATTGCTAGCAAATAGAATCTTATTACGCTGTTTTTCAGAAATTCTAGTCTAGTTTTATTTTTCTCATTTTCTCAAATTCCCTCCATCTCTACTGCAGACACTCCTCTAAACCCTGAACTTTTAATTCCTCTGTACAGCACCTTCAGAGATTAAAAAAAAAAAAAAAAAACTTAACTAACTTCCTCTACAGTCTCAGCTAGAAATGCTTGTTCCCAAAATGAAGTAAGGTATAACAAACTGTGGAATAAGGAGACAGGATAATTTAGAGATCACATGTTAAAAGGGTAGAGAAAGCACCCTAGAGATTAGAGACTAATGCTTTCAAGCCAAAAATGAAAAACTGTGGTTCACTGAAGTTAAAAGTCTTGCCGAAATTCATGCAGGTAGTTAACAGTAGAGTGAAACCAGAACCCAGATCTCCTGGTGCCTAATCCAGTAGTTTTAGTACTATACTTCATACGTAAAATGAGGATTATAACAGTGCCCACCTCACTGAGGTAAAGTACTCAAAACCATACCCGACAAATAGTAAATATTCAATAAATGTTAGCTACTGGTGGTGGTGGTGATAAAGATAGTTGCTGCTATTATTATTCACATTTCATTCAAACATTGGCTATTATTATTCCATGCTGTCATCCTATTTGCCACAATCAAGTCTCCAATGAGTAGCTTATTTTGTTCAAATTCCCAAAGCAGCCAGTCACATGCCATTTTCAAAGTTAATATAAAAAAGCACATTCCAAACTGGAATATAATTGATATTGCAGATGTCCTTATTGAGAATCATCTTTACCTTCTGTTCCCTTCCACAAGTGCCAGCAATTGAGACTTTATGATAGTTTCAGTAATGCGAACATGTAATAAGTAGACATTTAATACACGTTATAACATATTTAATTTATAAGAATATATAATTACACGTGTACTGGACTATACTTGGGTAAGATATATATATACATACATATACAAAGGAGGTATCATAAAATCTCTGTCTCCCAGACATAAGAAAGAGCTGAATAAAAGTGCAAGGCTGGGCTCTGCATGCTGTAAAGGTTCAGAAAAGGGAAGCGACAACATACACTAGCCTTGAGGGGTAAAGACAGGAGAACTTCAGCTGAGTCCTGAAGAATGCCAAAACCAAACCAAACCCGTTGCCGTCAGGTCGATTCCGACTCATAGCGACCATACAGGACAGAGCAGAACTGCCCCACAGGGTATCCAAGGAGTGGCTGGTGGATTTGAACTGCCGACCTTTTGGTTAGCAGTCAAGCTTTTAACTACTGTGCCACCAGGACTCCGAGTCTTGAAGAAAGTTAAGATATAAACAGACTGGAAAAGGTCCCTGGAAATGAGTCATCAGCATGCCTCTCTCTTATTTCATTATTGTGCTTATACTCATCAGTTATGCTAGAGCAGACTTTAAATACACTATAAAATACATCTCTTAAATTTAAACTCTGAAAAAGTAGCATTTCTGTTTTGTTTACAATTTATTAAATTTTATACATTCTTGGCAGTGAGGAAAAAAGTGCCTTGGTGCTTAGGCTGGTGGCTGCAGTGGTTCTCCATTAAGCGTTGAGAACACAAAAGGCATTAGATTTAGCCAGATCACCAGTAACTTTAGAAAGAAACCTATTAGTGGAATGGTGATGACAGAAGTCCACTTGTATAAAAGAACAGATGGTGGTAAATTTAAAAACAGCAGGGAGGCTCTGAGGAATCTGGTTATGGAAATCTGGTTAAGAAATGTCAGGCCCTCATGACCTCACCTCATTCCAACAGCTTCCTAGCTGGCCTCCTGGACTCTGATTTCTTACCACTCCTCCAACCACCTCCGGTCCATGCACACACTCCAAGAGAAATCTACAAGCATTGTTTCCTATCATTATGCCCCAAAACTTTCAATGGCTCCCTATCTCCTATTATACCAAATCTAAATTTCTCCTTTTCAACTACTTCAGCTTTTATTAGCCTTTTACCAATCCTTCTCTAACTTCCTACAGCAATTGTAACCGCAGAATTTGGCATGTAACTTGCTGCTTTCCTTGTCATTCCCTAAATACACCATATGCCTAAGCTTTCTACCCACCACCCAATCCCCCACCAATTAGAATTCAAGTGTTTTGAGGATAGTGACCATGCACTAATACTTCTTATGATACCTAATACCAAGGTACAAGTAATCTGAAAAACAATACAGTATTTGGATAAGGAGTAAGTATCTGGAATTCCCTTTCCTTCTCACTCCACCTGGCTAGCTTTTACCGTTTTTTCAAGACCTGAGTCAAAAATCTCCCCCTCAAGTCAGCACAACTGAACTAAACCAAAAGCTAAGACGTTTCCAGAGTACAACCAAACACTTCAAGGGACAGAAAAGCAGGGGCGGAGGTCTGGGGACCATGGCTTTGGGGATATCTAGGTCAATTGGCATAACCAAGTTTATTAAGAAAATGTTCTGCATCCCACTTTGGCGAGTGGCATCTGGGATCTTGAAAGCTAGCGAGTGGCCATCTAAGATATATCAATTGGTCCCAACCCACATGGAGTAAAGGAGAATGACGAACACCAAAGATACAAGGAAACTATTAGCTCAAGAGACAAAAAAGGCCACATAAACCAGAGCCTCCATCAGCCTGAGACCAGAAGAACTAGATGGTGCCTGGCTACCACCAATGACCGCCCTGACAGGGAACGTGAAAGAGGAGGAGAAAAGCGGGATACGGAACTTAAATTCTAGTAAAAAGACCAGACTTAATGGTCTGACTGAGACTGGGGGGACCCCAGAAGACATGGCCCCCAGACTCTCCATTAGCCCAGAACTGAAACCATTCCCAAAGCCAACTCTTCAAAGATAAGACTGGACTATGGGACATAAAATGACACTCATGAAGAGAATGCTTCTTAGCTCAAGTAGATACATGAGACTAAATGGGCAGCTCCTGTCCAGAGCCGAGATGAGAAGGCAAAAAGGGACGGGAGCTGGCTGAACAGCACCGGAAATATGAGGTGGAAAAGTGTGCTGTCACATTATAGGGAGAGCAGCTAGGGTCACATAGCAATGTGTGTATAAATTTTTGTATGAGAAACTGACTTGAAGTGTAAATTTTCACTTAAAGCACAATTAAAAAAAAAATCTCCCCCTCTAGAAAGCCTGGTCAGTCTCTACTTCCCACCCTCCATCTACTAAACTGAATTAGATTCTGCTCCTATGTTGTCGTTAGGTGCCACTGAATCGATTTTCGACTCATAGTGACAAAATGTGACAGAGTAGAACTGCCCAAATGGTTTTCTAGGCTGTAATCTTCACAGGAGCAGACTGCCACGTCTTTTTCCCTCAGAGCCGCTGGGTAGGTTCAAATT